ACTGGCTTCTTTCGAATGTCTTTCGCAACCACGACCCTCCCATTGTTTCGCCACCCGCTGCTTTTACTATACTGTGACGTTTTCGCTCCAATATTTGCCCGTAGTCGGTTGTTTTTTTGGTATTTTTTGTTTTGTTTTGTTTTTTTTGTTTACATCCTTGAACGTGTATATAGGTATAGCTCTGCGGCATTCTGTAAAGCTACGGTTTTCCAATTAACCGCGCAAAAGTGCGTTTACGGGCCCGGGGGCAAACGTTTCATTATTTTTTACCCACCCCTACCGTCGACTCGACCGATTTTTCTTTTTTTTTTCTTGGTCAAAGAGACCCACGACTAGTACATTTTTCAAAGTTCACGTATCATCGAGACGCCCGATGGGTGTCAAAATATTTTCTCGAGGGTTCCGTACGTCATGTACGTTCCGGGGAGCGAAAACTCGGGCCGATATTTCCGGTCAGCCACGAGGGAATACCCACCCGTCCACGGGCTCCACTCCGAAGTAAGCCACGATATCCAATTTACGAGTTTTCAAGTCGCAAGTTCAAAAGACGTGGTTTTCCCTTTTCCCCCTCTCCTGTATCTGTGTGTCACGTATACACGTGTACATACGATGCGTGCGATTGAAAAGCCCCATGGTACGGAGATAAATACGCGACAATTTCCCTCGAAAAATTCGGACCGAAAGGATTTTTTTTCGGCTTTTCTCTCCACCGAAATGGCCTAGCAGTCGCCTGGACTTTCCGTCATCGGTAAAAGCCACAAACACTGGGCTCGGGGGGGAAAAAAAAACGCGTAATCCCGCCAGACTGTTCTCAGTCGCAGGACTCGCGTCTGTTGACTCGGACCGATGTATAACCCTCCGCATGAAACGATACACAACGTACATGTTCATCCCCCCTTGTATGTACGCACATTAGTGTCGCTCGGCTGATAAATCGCGTCCGTTGGGTCGTTGATGTCGCCATCGGTTTCCTCTCAAAAGGGGGAGAAAGAAAGAAAGAAGGAAGAAGCCCCCCTCGTCTCTGTACTAATGTCTTTTCGTTTACACGTGTGCACGCCGACACGTGGCTATCGCGGCTCCTTTCACCAAAGTCGATCATCGGCATCGTCTCGCGCACGATAAAACTTTTACTTCTTCGCAACTGCACCGAGGAGAGCCTCGTTGGGCTTTCGAGGTATATACTTGTATACTGGGCTCGTTTACCCTCGAGTTGCTCGTGAGAATTGGCGGCTCGGAGGAAGAAGGTCATAAATAGTCGAGATGAGAAAAAAAAAACAAAAAAAAAACAAAAAAAAAAAAAAACAAGCTCACATAATTTCGTGTTTCAAACTTATACAGGTATACATTGTATGCGTATTACTCAAAGTAGGCTGCAACTTTGATTGAATCACGCGATAAGAATCGATAATTGAGTGTCACGCGCGTGTGCCGACGCAAGCGAAATACACGCAATTTGTTCGGCTCATCAAGCGTCGGGAATACCAGCAGAGAAAACGCACCGTTGCACTTGCCCACGAATTAGTTGAAATACCGAAAAATCCTGATGATCCTTGCTCGCGCGCGCGGATGTTACGTAAAATGATAGCTCCGCGTGTACAACCGAAGGCGCATTTTTCGGCGGTGGGGCGACGAAGATTGAGAAAAAAAAGAAAAACAGGGACATTTTTGTTTTTGTGCCTTGGATACCCCAGTTTCTCTCCAAATCCATCTGGGATTATTTCCCCCCTTGCCCCGTTCGAAGAGTTTGAAGAGAGCGGGGGATGATAGCCTACGGCCGGAGAGAGAGAGCGAGTTTTTTTCCGAGCGTATTCCCGCTTATCCGCAACTTGCCGGCCCTCGAGAGACGTATACCCACCACGCACCCATCTCCTTTTCTCTTTAGTCGCCACGTAGTGATATGATAGTATGCGCATGCATATGCGATGCATGTACATGTATATATAACGTGAACTCTGAGGCTGGCGGTCAAGTTTTTCAGTACCCAAGCTCCATTCAAACTCACCGGCTCGTACGATAATGCTCGACTCCCGTCGAGAGAAAGGCGGTACGCGTACACCCTCAACCCCCGGCACGGCGAGCGAGAAGAGCTTGAGATTTCCATCGCTTCCCATTTATACATACGTGTCTGTGTGTGTGTATGCGCGCCCTACCCCGGAATTTTCATAAGGGGTAAACGCGCGTACTGAGCTTTTGCTCTCTCTCTCTTTGCTGCGATATTAATTTGTCCGAGGGCTGTCGTCCGTAGTTGTCAGGAGGACGATACCTCAACCATTAATTTCACCCATCCCCAACTTGGTCATTGCGCGTGATACCCGGGGTGGAATGAAAAAAGACTTTCTCTCTCTCTATCTCTCTAATTTACAATCCGGAAAACCAACTCGATCCGACGGAGGAAGGGGGAATATGAAAAAAAAAAAAAAAAAAAATACGTTGATTTCGGTAATACCGATGTTACGTCTATCTCGTTCTCTCATTACTCGAGTTTCGCGCTCGCTGCTCGTGGAGATAAAAAAAAAAAAAACAAAAAAAAAAAAAAAGGGAGGGCCGGGAAAATCCGAGGGAAAAGAAATCCCACCGAGTGCTGGAACGAAGTTTGCGGCCCCGGACTGAGGAGGAAGCGAGGTTCTTGCGGGGCTTCCGTCAGCTAGCGCGAAAATTATGTCAATTTGGCCGCTCGTCCGGTGTTTTCTTTTTCCTCCCTCATCTTTTCCGCGGAAACGAGAATCCGATTAACAATCGACGGGCGGGAGATAGGGAAAAATCGACGCTGCCCCGTGTACTTCGAACCACTCGCAATTTCCGCCTTTCGCTTCCGCGGTCCCCCGGGGGACACCGAAGACGTCTGTATATCTACGGTAGAGAGAGTGGAGGGGCCGGGGGGCTGGTATTAATTTTTCCCTCTCTACCCGCGCGTATACGCGAAACCAAGGCCAAGAGGTATTCCCCGGCGACTACGCGATGCTCGAAAATTCACCGAATCGCCCGATGGAAGCACGAGCGCACGATAATCGCCGTCGCGGCTGAGAGCTTTTTCTTGCTCGGGCGGAAATTACCCGGGCGGGAGTGGCCCGATTAGAATTGCAGGGCTCCCCGTCCCTTCGGTCGACTCTCGCATTGTCAATAATCCCCGTCCAAATTCTCTCTTTATTCTCGCTCAAATATCCACATTACACACGTACAGGTGCGCTGATATTTGCTGACGGCCGATGTGGGTGCTGGAGGTAAAGATAGCAGGGGGGGGAAAAAAAACAATGCCGGCGTTAAAACTGGAGCATCGACGGCGGCCTCCGTCTGTAATCGAAACAAACAACAACGCGACCCGGGCTGTGGGCGAGGACAAAAGTCACCAAGCATCCGCCGAGCCGCGGTTTTGACATCCAGACCGACCGACGGATGATCCGCGGTAATGTTTCATCCATGTATGCGTATACTGCTCTGAGGGGGGCACAAAAAGAGTCGAATTCGCGTGGCTCGCGGCGGCAAAGTTACGCCGAGTCGCCCGACTGCGCGTGTATGCGTCGTTGGCCTGATTTTAGAAACAATCCTCCGATTGGCAGAAAAGGGCAAAACCCGGGGAGGGGAATTTATTTCAGGTTTGGGCCCATTCTCTCCCTTCCCCGTTCGATTGTTGCCGTTCGACAGGACGTTGGCAACTGAATGTGCAGTTGTTCTTCTTTCATTGTTTTTTTTCCATTTAAAGGCACAAAGACAGGTAATGAAAAAAATGTAGTCAAACCGTGCGATAAATAAAGAAGGTAAATCCACACGAAAAAGGGTCATAGCTACTGGTTCCACTGGAGTTGTGGATCCCTTTTTGCATCCGATGAAAGGGAGTCGCGGCGAAAGGATATCGGGTCGCTGAGATTGCGAAAATGCCTGTACACCGACTCTGCTTCACTCGGCTTATCCCCGGATAGTGCTCTTATTTTTCACAATTTTAGTCTCGTGCATTGACGACGATGAGGATGACGATGGAAAAAAAAACCCCCTCCATCCGACCGTCGCTGTTTTAATCCAAAGATAGAGGAACTAAGTAAGTTTGCCGTAACGAGAGAAGGAGCGAGTTAGTTCACGAGGGAGATTATTCATAAATAGGCGGGAGCTGCAGCACTGCTCGAGAATAATGGCAATCAGCTTCGAAATAACGACGGTCTTGGGGTAGACGCTGTGGAACTGTTGGCTAACTCGAGTGAATTACCCGGACTGCATCGTTTTGAATGCAAAATTTATGAAAAGGAAAAAGTACCTTAAAAAAAAAAAAAAGAAAAAAATACGTCGTTGGAATCCGTGGTTTTGCGAAAAATCAACAACAACAACAACGGTAAGCTTAGCCAGCGAGCGGAGAGTCGTTAGTTGATGCGGTCGAATAAAGACTGCAAGCATTTTTTCTCCCCCCCCCCCACCCTTTTTCAACAAAACCATCGCGCGCTAACTCGATAATCTTGCTCTCCATTTTGCAGCTCTCGTTGTTTTAATGCTTCGCGTCTCTGGACTTGACTGCTGGACCTTTTTTTCCATCTTTTTCTCTCCCTCTTCCCACAATCTTCCGAAACATTTTACTCGCCCGACTCGTATATCCTGATAATGAAATTTTCGCTGCTAAAGAGTCAGTTGGCCAGTCTTTTTTTTTTCTTCATCCATTTTAGAGCTAATGAGCTTGAAAATCTCTTGTTTTTCTACTACACGTGGTTGCCTTTTTTCGTTCTCTCGCACAGAATTCAAAATTTTTGCCACCAACAGTGACAGATTTCACGCTCTTGCACCCTACCAACAATCATAATAATAATAATAATAATAATAACAATATTTATAAATGTATGTATCAGTCTTAAAAGGCAAGATGTTTCCCTTGTGTTGCAGCAGCGACAGCGGCATCATGCACCGTCGAAGGTGACTGAAGATACATCGAGCAGCGGTGGAGAGGCGCGAAGCGGCTAAAAGTATCGCCCTCTCGCCGGCCTCGGCTGCAGCGACGGGTGACCCTCGATCCGGAGGGGGCTATGGAGTTTGACAACGCAACGGAGAGCGGCCTCAACGGCACCGATCCCAGTCGCAACGGCTCGACGCCGATTTTCGCGATCGGCAACAAGTTCATCGAAAAATGGCAAGTTTTTTATTTTTTTTTTTTCCTTTTGTTAGAAAAAAATAATAGTAATTATATTTATAGTATTACTCGATTCCCGGAGAGACTGGTATAATTGTTAGGCCGAAAACCAGCTCAGAGAGAGAGAGAGAAAGAGAGCATTGACTCTGGAAAAACTCGTGTCGGTGTACCGCACGAAGGGAACAGTCCAGTCTACCGTAGCTCGACGTTTCTTTTAATTTTATCATCGTAGTTGGACTCGATCGATGAAGGATAAAAAAAAAAAAAAAAAAAAATCACGAGAACTCAACGTTGGCGTGTTCGTCTTAGCTGCGGGTAATTCGAGTTGCTGCATTCGCTTTTTAATTTTCCCGTCGATACATATATGCAGTAGATATACACACACACGCTTACACATCCATCGCAATATCGCACACGAAAACAATAGTCTAGTTCCAATATTCGTATGCAAGTGCAAGGAGTACTAGGATTTTTTTTTTTTCTTCCATTTTCCAAGAAATGAAAAATCTGATTTTCCCTACTGTCATCACTTTTCCCTCGCATTAGCGCGTCTTTTGACTGTTGACCTCTACTATACATGTATACACAAACCCACGCAAGCTAATTGTATTAAAGGATCGTGAAGATCCCGTAGGACGTAAGAAAAAGTCCTGCCGTCCATCAGTCATGTGCTCCACACGTAGATACGTATACACAAAAGCCGAAACTGCACACGATATCCTTGACCTCCACCGTTACGGCGTAGTTACAGGGAGTAGGTTTATGTAGTTCACGTGATGGCGAGGAGGACAAGCTATGTTTACCTGCCTGCGTGAGAGCAGTCGATTTAGGTGCCTATATATATATATTTACATGCATCGCCGTCCTCATCGACTTGTTAGCCACACCGTGTGCCCACTTTTTTTTTTTTTCTTTTACACGTGTGTACACACTAGGTACTACCTCGTCCTTTTTTTTTTTCCCTCTGTCGAAGGTCCACGTGTTTACCGGATACGCGGGGAGCTAGTTGTTGTTCTCGACTCGCCGGTCCCGGTGGTTGTATTTGCATCGCCCTTCTTTTTCCCCTGCCATGCCTATTCAGGACAGGAGCATAAACACGGAAACAGATTCTCGCCGCTTCAACGCCAAAGAGCGCTAAAGTACTCACGCGAGCTTGTTTTTTTTTTTTTTTTTTTCTCCCTCTCTACGGATCCATTACATCAGAGGGAAAACACCAGGTCACTTTTATTTTTCATTCGTGCAATTGAGCACGTGGCGCGATTTCCCGGCATCCTTGCCTCGTTAATTCATCACGGACATCGCGCTCCTCGCGCTCACTTATTCATCGGTATTACAGCCTCGGGGTTTTCCTCGCGTGCGCTATCGATGAAATTAAACAAATACAAACAAATAATACACGGACATTGCGAGCGGTGTCAAGGAGAAATAATTAGGTGTACTCTGTCGCGCAAATGTGCACGGAAGCAGGTTAAACCGCCTTTTTTTTTCTTTTTTTTTTTTTTTACAAAGAACTCGGGGTATTTGCTTCATGTTGTACAAAGTTCTCGTGCAAATTATAGTTTTGACGGTCCTTCAAATTGGTCAGTCAGTAGTTTATCATCGATACAATTTTGCAAAAGAGCATTAGCGTGCCAATCAAGCGTGTCCTTTGATTTACGGAGGTTTTTTTCCCGTTGCACGGCAACAAGATCGATACCCCGGTCTAGCGGTGGAATATAGGGGATATTTATTGGATTATTTGGAAGTTGCGGCCTTTAATAGCTGGCCTTAATTTTTTTTTTTTTTTTTTTTTTTCCGCGCTACTCGATTGTCGCGGGTGGAGGAAAAAAGAAAAAATTAATAATCTATACACGGGAGTGTTTCGGGGACGAGAAAAATCAAGCGCCCCCCGGAAATTTTACGTATGCGCTCAAAGGACGAAGTATATGGGTCTGGAAAAAAAAGAGCTCTGCCCTCCAGTCGACTCTTGATGAAATTATTTTGACGAGCCAACTTTTTTTTTTCACTTCGTCTTGCCTCTTCATTGTTCTTCAATTGAATTCGTCGCGAAACGAGACTCGGATGAAAAGCAGCTTTGGGAACGAAAGGTCCCCGAAACCCCCTTTTGACGCCAAATCGTACACGTGTACACGAAGAGTTCGAGGGACGACTTTGAGCAACGTGCGTCGCAACGCAATGCTCCCCCCGTTTTGTCGCCTTACTACTGAAACGTCGAAACTTTGGTGCGAGTGACATTAACACTGTTGATAATTATGGACGCGTGAAAAAAAATTTCAACGGTAATTTGCTAACAAAACCATGTATAATAAAAATGGGATAGTAGGGTAAGCAAACTATTGTCTATGCATAGAAGCCACAGATTTTAGGGGTAAGTACGGAATATTGAGTTACTTTGTCATCTCAATCGAAAAGGATGACAGGAAATGTAGTAGGTACGTAATAAATTAATTACATTGTGCCTGTATGAAACTTGAATTCTTTGTAATCGTGTACAAGGACGGCTACAATTATAGAAAAAAAAAAAAAAAAAAAAAAAAAAAAAAAAAAAAAAACCCACCGAGTGCGTGATTGTATGCATCGTTGACAGCACGCAAGCAATGGAATAAACGTGGGAAAACAAGTTGTTGCTTTTTTTTTTCGTGTTACGTAAACAACCAAATATTGTTTATCAGGGAGAGTTTTAACCCTGAATAATTTGATAACGAAGAGATATCGTCGTGAATATGACCCCGACACGAATTAGGTCGAGTTGTTTTCGCGGTAAATTTAAATTTTTAAGCGAATAATAAAGTTTGAGTAAACACGATGTCGGTGGTCGTCAAACGATAAAAAATTAACTAAAACTACTCACGAGAGTTAATTTATACTGAAATTGCAATTCGGAGGACATCAAGTTGAAATGTCATTATAATTTTAAAACTACACGTGGTCAAAGATTGTTTTTTGAACTCTTTATTTTAAGCAAGAATTTTACGGTAAAATGTAACAGAGCTGGAGCACGTGGTTTAAAAATTACAGGATCCAAGTGAAATCTTTCGAAATACGAGGAAGGAGATGCACACGTACTCGTACGAAAGTTGGAGCTCGGAATACGCTAGCGGCTACGTTTTACAAAAATCAAATTCTTCTTCTTTCGGATGACCTACAAAGTTCTCCATCCACGGAGCCCGGAAAAACGTTAAGAAATAAACTTACGAATCTGAAACTCGCTAGTTTTTTATTTATTTTTTTTCAAGCTGAAACATTAATTTTAATGTAAATTGATTCAAAGAGCCGCGTTGCCGCTTCGCCGATTTAAAGCTCCCATTGATAAAGTATGTTTGAAAAAAAGGAAAAAAATCTCTCGAGGACAATTTTGTACGGGCCATACCGACAAACACGCCCTAAGTCGATCGATCAATCGATACTAGACCGCTCCACAGGATTAAACCCGTACAAACTGTATACTTGCCTTGTATACCCTTTTTACGCAGACCCCCTTAATCCCAGCGATCCCTCCTTACGCCCCCCCCCCCGGTACCGATATCACCTTCATCTCGGTTTCTTATCCGTCCCGAGAGATAAGGTGCACATGATAGCTTCGACAGTGGTCGATGATGTGCACACTTGCGAGTGATTGACGAGGAATTTCATGTACACGGCGGGACGATCGTACCATAAAATCTCCTCCACATGGATGGATTCCGTTGGGTTTTTCCCGGTCAAACTTTGCTCCCATCACGGAATCCACTTACTTGTATTTATACACATACATACATACACATACACTCCAAGCAATCAATTTTCATCATTTTCTCTGGGCGCAGTGTATATACGTTATGTATGTACAACATATTATTATGTTATATTATATGTATACGTCACAGATAGTTCTCTGCAAACTAATATCCATGATGGATCATTATTTTTTTATCCACAGCTTACATTGTCTCGCGGTTGTGTACACCGAGTCGTACATACACGGTTGACCCGATTTTCCGCGCCACAGTGCCGGGGAGCCGTGCTACTCCCTCCGATTGAAAGAGAAAAGTCGAAGCACTCGTCCGTGGAATCATCATTATCATTCCCCGCTGTATGGAGTGTCCTCGCGCGTTCGATTATAATTGACGGGTAGCATCGAGGCACACGTTACGGGAAAGAAAAAAAGGACCGGAGCCTTTTCCACCTTCACCAAGCAGGTGTTTGTATTCGGTGCTCCGGGGCGACTCTCTTTTCCGTGTATTACGCGCCAGAGAGATGGAGAGGATGGCTTGGTTGAAGACGCGAACAAGCGAGTCAAAGCATCGACGCTGCTGTGGAAAACGGCACACCCGGTAGCCATACACACATATATACGTAACGCGCTGCACGTGTCTATTCATCCGATACGTATATATGTATACTCGGGAGCCGCGTCCATCCTTGTCCCTATATACATGCGTGCATGCTCTCTCTCTCTCTCTCTCTCTCTCTCGGTCGTTGTAGCCGTAGGTGAAATAGTACTAATAACAATACAGACTGTCCACTGGGTGTCAAAGGTATGTACACAAATGTTTATGATCCCCTATCGATTTTTATACTCGCTTCCGCGTAGGTATGCTGCTGCTCTCTTTTGTTGAGAAAAGCTCCCGTGCCTATTGCACTTTCTTTTTTTTTCTCGTGACTTACCCATATTACCGTCCCGTGTATGTATAGATGGTCTCCGTTGTTATCACTGCAAATGTATATTTGCATTACCTATTGCAAAAAGGGTGCAAGGACAGCACCACGTACGATACTTCGGGGATGGATTAGTTTCCTCGGTATTGGGGGAAAATAATGAGCTGACGTACTTCGGGCCATGAAACAATACCCATCATTATTCCACGAGCTACAGGGGAGGCCGTACACGGTGCTTGAATTATGAAGAAGGTATGGTCGTTTGATCGACCATTTCCTCCCTGTCGTAAAAAACTAAATTACACTTTGTACTTTTTATGGGAATACCTGCTAATACCACGCATCACCCCCTGGCTGTTGGC